AAGGTTCTAGGTTGTTGGTATGATATTTGTGCAACTATCCATGTGTGTTATGATAAGTCTCTTTCAAATTTATCATGACATTGATGATGGTCAAGAGATCCAAATGGAAAATGAAGGAAAATTTAAAGCGATTGGCAAAGAGAATGTGGAGATCATCTTCACTCTGGGAAAGAAGATTACTTTGACCAATTCCTTCATGTACAGAAAGTGAATAAGAATTTAGCAGGTGGGATTCTCTTGGGAAAACTGGGAATCAAATCTGTATTTAAGTCAGGGAAACTTGTACTAATCTATAATGAGTATTTTGTTGAAAATGGCTATTCTACTTAAAGAATGGTCAAACTTTGTACTTTTGAGAATGATTCTAATAAAAATAATTTTTTTTCTTATGTTATTAATTCATTTAATTTATGGCATGGTAGATTAGCACACTTAGGAGCTAGCACTATGAAAATAATGGCTAAATGTGGATTAATACAATGTGAAGTTAAAACTTAGAAATGTGTGAAACATGTATTAAATCAAAGTTGATTAAAAAGTCATTTCATAGTGCAGAAAGAAAATCTCAATTACTTGAACTTCTGCATTCCGGTATATGTGAATTGAATGACTTACTAAAAGATGAAGTAATAGATATTTTATTACATTCATTGATAATTGTTCTAGATATACTTATATAAATCTTTTAAAACATAAACATGAAGCATTAGATGCATTTAACATATATAAAGTAGAAGTTGAAAATCAATTAGGAAGAAAAATAAAGACTCTCGAAAGTGATAAAGATGGAGAATATTTCTTAATTGAATTCAATGAATTTTGTCAACAAAATGATACACAAATGTTCTACACCACGTACACCTGAATAAAATGGTCTAGTGAAAAGAAAGAATATGACATTTTTAAAAATGATAAATGCTATGTTACTATATTTTGAATTACCATATAATTTATGAGGTGGAGCATTAGTTAGTGCTTGTCATATGGTAAATAGGATTCCTTTAAAATGAATAAGGTTTCTCCATATGAAATATGGGAAGGAAGGAAACCAAATATTAATTATTTCAAAGTGTGGAGATGTCTTGCTTATTGCAAGAACACGGATCCTAAGATAACTGAATTAGGTCCTATAGGTAGATAAGTGAATTAGGTCCTATAGGTATTAAATATGCCTTTGTAGGATTTGCTTTAAATAGCAAGGACTAAAGGTTATTAAACTTAGAATCAAATGTTATAATAGAATCAACGGATGTGAAGTTTTTTGAGAATGTGTTGCAAACGAGAAATTCTCAAAATGAAACTAATGTAGATATTCCAACTACTAGAAAATCACAAGAAGAGACATCTACAAGAGATGTTGAAAGTGAACCTCAAAAAAGTAAAAGAACTAAAAAAGAAAAAGGTTTAGGATCGGATGAAATGGTTTCCCTACTTATTTCTTTCTACTTAGTAGAGGGAGATTGAAAAGATGTTGTAGGAACAATTCCTTTCGTTTTTCAAGTCGAAAGTGATCCTAAAACCTATAAGGAAACAATATCTTGTGGAGATTACAAATTTTAGAAAGATGCAATAAATAATGAAATGGATTTTATTATATCAAATAACACTTGAAAAATAGTTGATTTACCAAAGGATAATGGGGATTATTCATTAAGCAAATCGTACTATGTTAAGAATGTGATAAATAAGTTAAAATATTTGAACATTAGAGAGGTAAGTACCTTGTTGGATTCGAGTATCAGGTTAGTAAAGAATGATAGAAGAGTAATAGCTCAAATTGAGTATGGAAGTGCAATCGGAAGTCTTATGTATACGGTACAATGTACAAGACCGAATCATGCATTTGCCGTGAGTAAACTAAGTAGATTTACTAGTAATCTAAGTTCAAAATATCGGAAGGCCATAGGAATGGTTCTTGGTTATTTAAAGAAAATAAAAAACTTTGGACTACAATATACAAAGTTTCCAACCATTCTTGAAGGATACTCTAACGCTAGTTAGATATCGAATGCGGGAGAAAATAGTTCTACTTTAGTTTGGGCGTTTACTCTTGGAGAAGGAGCAATTTCTTGGAGGTCTAACAAACAAACATGCATTACATACTCAACAATAGAGTCTGAGTTTGTAACATTGGCCCAAACACAAAAAGAGGCTAAATAGCTAAGGGATCTTCTTTTTGAAGTTCTTTTAGGTGCAAAGGATATTTCTTCGATACATGTCTTGTGTAATAGTTAAGCCACTTTAGCACGAGTATATAGTGAATTATATAATAGAAAGTCTAGGCACATGAGTCTAATACACGAGTGTATGAGAAATTTAATCAAGCATGGAGTAATTTCTCTTACATATATTAAGTCTACTAAAAAATTATTTGATTTGTTGATTATACCTCTTACAAGATAGTTAGTAAGAGCTACATCAAGAAAGATGGGGTTGAAACTCTTTGATTAAAAATTCACCAATAATGACAACCCTACCTAACCATATTGAATAAATATATCTAGGTTCAAAGGGTAATAACAAGTCATTCGATAATTGAATAAGTTTCAACACTATTGACCTATTATAAAACCCTATCCTTGATAAATAGAGTTCTTTGTTATCATTGGAGGGATGAGTTTATAAAACTCTTAATCAAATTCGGTACAAAGTACGAGTATCTCTAAAAGTAACAAAGATATTAGAAGAACTTCAGCTATGTAAATTTCGAGGTGGTGTCGCCTTAATATAGAATTAGAATTTATCTCTTAAAAGTTCAATGAATAAGATAAATGCAAGCCATAATAGCACTATGAGAGTTTTAGGAACTTGTGAAAACATAACACTCATGCGTGTGATTTTATCGTTATTGCTATAACGAATAATTGGTTCAAAACTATCATGCTACTTGAAATTTCGACAATACTTTGTGAGATTTACACTATGGTCAAATTTAAATCGAAAGACGTCTAATCCTTATGCAATAATGTTACTTGGTATGAATATGTGGAAATTTTGAACAAATGCCATAATAGCACTATGAGAGTTTTAGGAACTTGTGAAAACATAACACTCATGCGTGTGATTTTATCGTTATTGCTATAACGAATAATTGGTTCAAAACTATCATGCTACTTGAAATTTCGACAATACTTTGTGAGATTTACGCTATGGTCAAATTTAAATCGAAAGACGTCTAATCCTTATGCAATAATGTTACTTGGTATGAATATGTGGAAATTTTGAACAAA